ATGGATGCTATTTTCAAAGACAGGAAAATGAAGTACCGGATTTTTCATACATTTTTTTTATTTCCCCCTTATTTTTTAAAATTTCAATAAATTTTGATCTGCTGATTTAATATTAAAAAACCAAAAAGTTTCTTTTTTACTCCAAAAAAGGCATTTGACATAACTTCATCAAAATTAAGTTTTGCCCTTTAAAGTTCTTTTACTTTAGAATCTGATATTATTTTTGGCATAGTTATCTTTTTATATTGATATTATTTAATAATTAAGTAATATCATAAGGGCATCTAATTTTTCCGTTGCCCGTTTGGTATTTGACAAGACTATTTCATGAGTAACAGTTAATAATTAAAATATAAATTGCAATTTTTGGTGACAACAGCTGTCAAGTTTTGCCGCGGGTAAACTCGAAAAAACTGATGACAGGTGCTGTCATACAGTTTTTCCACCTAGAAACCATTGGTAATTCAAAATTGTGCGTTTGTGATTCGTGGAAATTAAGACGAGGGAAATAGTCAATAATAAATATTACTGCCAATTTGACAGTGTCATAGTATTTAATTAAGGTCTTCAGCAGGACCATTTTTTAATTACTAAAAATACTAAAACAAACTGCCATAAGCTACCAACTTAATAAAAAAACACGAGTCCAAATAAAAAAAATTAACTGTATATTTTTCTGAGATGTCAAGTTACGCCAGAATATTCCCATTTTGTTTCAAATATAACATTTTGCCCAGAGAATTCCCAGATTAGTTCTGCGTTGAATATACAAGGGACAAAAATTATTACAAGGATATAAAAAGATCCCTTAAATATATGAAATGGACGTTTACCGTGTATGAGATAGATGGCGTTAGAGCTTAGTTTAAACCAAAATCAATCCACCGAATTTCCGTTTCATACATGCAATAATTTGTCAGGAGTCTAAAAGCAATTTTTACTTTTCGCAGAACGGTAAAAGCTCACCCGAACACGAAAGTTCTTACAATGGATAAAGTTCACTTATTTAAATTGATCTAAAATATTTTCACATGATGGATCTTAATGAAAAACCTTTTAATTTTTAAAATGAAATGCACATTTTAGTTTTATTTTATCAAAAATGTTGAGTCTACACATAACAAATAATAAAATAATTTATGTTAATTTTACTGTATACCCAGTAAAAAAAAATCCACTCTAAGCAACATTAATTAGAGTTCACACAGGTCCACACTAAATATATTACACTATAGTGTTGTTTTATAACACTACAATTAGAGTTAATTTGTAGTGTAATTTTCCCCAAGTAAGCAAGTATGATTTAACACTATAGCACTGAGGATAAAGTAATTTTACACTGTATTAAAAAGTGTTAATTTACCTAAAATCGTGTACTTCTACACTTCCTGGGTAAAATCCCACTTTTGTTCAGTGTAAATTAACACTACTTTGGAAAATTTCTAATTTTAGAAAGGTACTTTTCCTCTTTTAGTGCAAACTTCTAGTGTAAATTAACACTATTATTTGAGTAAAACCTATTGGTGGTAGTGAATAAAACGAAAAGGTAAATAAAGAGAAACATTTATTTGGAACAAAAATCTATGACAATTATCAAAATCGGTGCCTTTTAAAATATAATTTTATATTTGAGTCGTATGGCTGGCTTAAGCAAAATAGTTCCTTAAAACGTAAAAGTTTTAGATCAATGCAATGTTTTACTGGCTGTCAACTTGTACGCAATGAATTATCTTGAGAATTCATCAGTAATCCATTTTTCTGTTATAAAAAATGGGTGATCCCATTGGTATAGAGGCGTCAGGCATGGACATCCTTTTAACATATTGGTATTTATTGAGTATTAACGCTTAAAGAAAAAGGAAGTATAATACTTACCAAAAAATAAGAATGGATTCACAGTAATTAAAATCTAACTGAACAAAAATGCGGTATCTCCGGATATGCACTGCGTAGGTAGATAGGTACCAACCAAACATTTTAAAACGCATTTCGGATATTACCAATTTTTAAAGTCTATTTTGCCACTATTGGTGTAAATTAACTTTAATTGTGATACAATATGCACTAGTAGTGTAAACAAAAAAAAACTCTTAGTAACATCAAAACAGACAAAGAAATTGGCATGCACTGTAGCGTACATTTTGTCTCTATTTAACACTCGCATTAAGTTTTTCTACCCTTTTTTAATTTATTTTAATAATAAATAGTGTGAATGTACCAATGAATAATGTTCATATTCTTTAAATGTGTTTAATTAAGTTAATAAGTACTAAATGCTACCTAGTGTATTTTGTAGTGTAACTTTTACACTTTCAAATCAACTCTAATATTTTTACCCCTACTAAAAATTTACACGGGCAAATTTTTTTACTGTGTATAGATTGTAATATAAAGTTAAAACGTGAGGTAAATAAATTGCTAATTGAAATCTAAACTACTAGACAAATTATCTTTGAAGTCAAACTTTGCGGCTTAACTAAATAAGTTTAAAGTAATTAAATTTTATGGATAAAACTTTTTTGTAGCAACTTTATCGTCCATCTAAAACCAAGATAATATTTTGGACCGAAATCCCAAGTGTACCGTAAAATCCTAGTCCAGACTTTACGGTTCTAAGGTCTCGAATATAAAATCAATATTAGGAAAAAATTTCGTTTATGACCTTATTTGAATTTTAATGAAGTTCAAACACCTCACGGAATAAATAAAACAACTCCATAGAAGTCGTTTTTCTGTTTAATTTATTAAATTGAATGCAAAATCTGTCAACCTTTTTTAAAGAACGGCGTGTAATCTAAGGCAGTTTCTAATTAATTTAATTAGTTTTCTATGTTCAACAATCCCACCAAGGAATAGTTTGATAGAACACGAATTCAGAAAATTAAAGGACAAATTGCTCGAATAAATTTCTAGATATCTGTGCATTCAGAGATTTACAGATGATTTTGTACGAACAAGGTGTAATTTAATTAATATTTTGGAGAAATTCCATTTCAAAAGCTGCTGTTTTTTAATAAAAATCATATTTTTTCTCTAAAACAGGTATGCGCACAGTGTATTATGTAATATCAAGCAAACTTTTAAACTTATTCAAAATCGGTTAATAGGTACTTTGTTATCATTGATTACTGACAGTTCGGTTGTTATTGTGGTTTCTCTGGGGCCACATGAACAGTTTAGTGGACCAGAGCGAAGTTGAGACATTAGAACAACTCCGCGAACTTGTCACGTCAGATGAAACCGAAATCATCCGGATATGATGGCAAAAGCGACACATCATAATTTTCTACGCCGCTGTCAACTGGATAATAACGGCGGGATAGTTGAACATTTATTATAATTTTGTAAAACACTTAAAAAAATATATTTATAGCTACATGAGCATCAATCGACGTAAAAAGTGAAAGGTGAAATTTAAAATCGACAGGAAAACCACGGAAACCTCGAGGTACCTTACAATAAAAAGTAAGTATTGTTTTATTCAAAGTAACTAAAAATAGCTGAGTATGCAAAACAAAACTTCCGTACTTTGGTAGAACATAGTAACTAAAGTAACTAGGTTTTAAAAAATTACTGCATTTTTGGATTTAGCGTTCAAATTTACCTCCAGTAACTATTTTTTATCTCTTTTTATATTACGGTGGCTGTAAAATGTCTATCTCTATATTTAGTAACTTCTAAAAACTGTTAGGTATCCTAAAGCAAAATATGGCAAATAAAGTTACTATCAACAATGTTCCATTTTTTTTTAAATTTCACCCAGTAAAAGCTACTAACTCAAGTTGCTAGGTTTAACGCAAAGTATTTTGTAATGGTAATAATAAAGCTGTTGCTGTTGGCAGGAGTATTTTAAAGTTATTAAATAATTAATATTAAGCTTTATGTATATATTTCAGCATTGATTAAAATCTGGTAACTTGAATGTTGATGTTTTAATAAGTTAATTTGTGCATATTTTAATCAACATAGAACTTTTTATACTACTATTGGCTGAATTATGATTTACGTAATTTGCACTTCCGAATAAATAAATAAAAATCTGTTTTTAATAAATCGGACTTTACCAGATTAGTTTTACGTTTGGAATAGTGTGTGTAACTTATAATAACGGTGTTTTATTATTAAGAAAGTTCAAAATATGTCCAAAAGAACAAATTTGAAGTTAAGCTACCAGTGGCACCGTATTTGGAACCATAGGGGTTAAAAACTAAAAAGAAAGGAACAATGTTAAAGACTCTTTGTCCCTTATTTAGAGATTAAAGAAAAAAATTGTTCTGGATTTTCTTACCATAATATCTAAATGTTCAATTTTACTTAATATAATATGGATTTTTTAAATTTTATTTTCACTAAATAAAACGGTAAAAACCTAAATAATTATTTATTTTAACTTATAGTCGATTAACTATATTTTACTTAATCATATTAAAAACAGTACAGTAACTAGCAATTGATATGGCCAGCTATTGCATAATTACTTATATAAATAAATTAACAAAATACCTATAGTAACTCATATTTGTAAACAAATTACTTAATTTTTTGATAATTTTTGAATTTTTTCAAATTCCTCGTTAAAAATTATCTAGGAATTGATAGATATTTTAAATATTTTGTTGCAAAGAAAGGCTATGTATTTTTAGAAAACACGCTGTCCTGAAGTTACAAAATCATAGTTACTAGGTTTTGTCAAAGTACGGCAGAAAATACAATTATCAACAATCAATGATAACACAAATGAAAATTTTTAGGGATTAAAAAAAAATGGCACTAATGCAAAAATGATAGAGGCAAAACTTTATAATTTTTGCATGTACTATCATCATATGATATCATATCAGTCTCATGATCCTAACCGGATATACTCGTATAACGAACTTTTAAAAAGTTGAATAAATGCCAGAACAACGTCAAAAATAAACTTTTCTGTTACCAAACAGCAATCTCTCATAAACCATCAGTACACTGATTAATATGGAAAAAATGCTCTAATGACTTACAGGAACTTTAAATCAGTATCATCGGGCTGATGATCGTCTGCCAGCAGCAAACGTTGTTCGGCTGCCAACTCCTTCTCTTTGGTTTCTCTGTCTCTTTCCGATTGCCTTTGTTGCAAGAGGTCGTTATCCAATTGTCTGATCTCCCACTGTTCCCTTTGCGAACGGTGATGTTCCTGCAAGAAAGAACAAAACAATCGTCAAAAGATAAGCCTCGGAAGCTACCGAAACACTGGAAAGGTGTGTAGTTTCTTTCTTACTATAACTTAAAAGTCATTTAAATATCAAATTTTTTGTAAAGTTTCTTAACAAAATCTAAAGCAAACTTTCAATATTTCGTCTTTTTTATTCGAGTGTTATAAATAAAATCAGCGTTGGTGATTTAGTGGATGATAAGAAATAAGTTTGAAGGGCAAAGCGAGTAGGTTGAATACCCTATTGGGACAGGAAATTGCTAGATTTATTAGTTTCCGTTATCAGGGCGTCGGATTACAAGCCTCGTACTAAATTTTAAGAGCACGAGAAATTTTTTACGTCCACCAACACATTTGGTTTTCAGCTGAAAGTTTTCGTTCACATAGCTTTCGGGTTTTATGTACTGCACTCGGATTTTTGATTTAAAAATTATATAAAAAAACTGTTTTATTTGCTTTGTTTTAATTTATCTTTAGCAAAGTTGTTACACGTTTTTTTTTTAAATATTTGTATTGATTTATTAAACTACCTAAATATTAGAAAACTGGTGTAGACTTTAGCAGAAAGAACCTAATTAATTTTTATTTGCGGATTTAATTAAAAATAGTACTTGATTTTTATGGCACTGTAAAAAGTTATATTGCATAACAGTGGGAATGGGTAAATACTAATTAAAGTAATATAATACCTATTTGAGAAAATCTCATTAGTTTAATCACATTTGCATTGTAAAAACATTGGGAAATTGCATGAAAATATTACTTACAGTTAGTTGCATATATAACTTTTAGTTTATATAAAATACTTAATATTTATAGCTATAGCAGCTATAAAAATTAAGATAACCTTAATTTAACTAATTTTACAAAATATTAAAAATGTGGGATGAAAATAAAAAACTTTTTTATTAATAGGTTTGATTATAATCAAACATTGAATTAATAGTATACACCAAATGAGTTTTAATTCTTTAGGGGAATGGAAGTACAAGCCAAAATAAGAAAGTTTTTCTTCTATCATTAAAATTTTTTAAAGGATAGTAAAAATTTTGCGCCTCCACTGGTTGTTCCTGACCTATGACAACTGACGCAAAATATGCTTGCACAGTAAGCAATAATCTACATTCATTAAAAATTTACATTTGTGTTATCATTGATTACTTTGTTGATAATTGTTTTTTGTTTTGCTTACCCAGCTATTTTTAAGTACTTTAAATAAAACAATACTTACTTTTTATTGTTAGGTATCTCGAGGTTTCCGTGGATTTAAATTTCACCTTTCACTTTTTACGTGGATTGATGCTCATGTAGCTATTTGTAAGTGTTCCACAAAATCATAATTAATGTTCAATTATGCACACAAAAATGACAGCGGCGTAGAAATTATGATGTATCGCTCTTGCCATCATATCCGGATGATTTCGGATTTCATCTGCCGCTGCAGTGACAAGTTCGCGGAGTTGTTCTAATGTGTCAACTTCGCTCTGGTACACTAAACTGTTCATGTGGCCCCACATAAACCACAATAACAACCGAACTGTCAGTAATCAATGATAACAAAGTACCTACTAACCGATTTTGAATAAGTTTAAAAGTTTGCTTGATATAACATAATACACTGTGCGCACACCTGTTTCTTTTTTGCTTGAATAAATAATATCATTGTTTTTAAAGGTTTTGTCTACACTCTAAAAATGAAATAGTCAAAATTCTACTATTTGAATTAGTACCAGCATTTTTTACTAATAAAATAGTCGTTTTCACTTTTAAATAGTTATTTTTTACTATGTAAATAGTTAAAGTTTGACTAATTTAAGATTAGTCACTATCTTTGATTATTTCTGAGAGTTAAGAGTAACTAATTTCTTTAATCGTTTGCGGCCAACAACAAAGTATTATTTAAATTAAATGCAAATATCTTAGCTCCATGGTTAAATGACCCATAAAAACAAATAAAGATGCAAAAATTTAGCTCAAAACAGCAACACAAATAATATATTCAACTTTAAAATATTATGAACAATATTTATTGACAAATAAAATTGATTTTTATAAGAGCGGCTGATAGCCGAATGGGTTATGACAACTGCTTGACAAGCTTGACAAGTGACAGACCTGAGTTCAATCCATGGCTGGGTCAAAACTTTTTTTAAATTTAAATCTACTAATTTGACTATATCATTCAGTAGAATTTGACTAATTATTAGTGACTGCTTTTTCGCTATGACAATTAGTCAAATATGACTTATAATTAGTTATTATTGACTAATTCATTTTAAGAGAGTAAAAATTTTCATAATTTTAATTAAAAAACAGTAGCTCTAATGCAAAAATAATAGAGGATAAATTTTCTTGTTTTAGCGTGTACTATCATCCCCATCCTTTATAAAGGATGACAATTTATTAGGTGACATAATTTAGAATACATTTTGAAAGCAACTGGGCACGTACCGTAACAATACAGGGTCTTCATGTGGTGGTGGTTGTGATGGGTTTGTGTCAGGTTAGAAAGTTAGAGGGTTTGTTGTGTCTTTGGTGCAAACAGCCCATTGGGTACTGTTTTGGTCGTTAATGGTTTTAGTTCTAACCTTTACCGCTGCGTCATACTCCAGCTGGCGAGCTTCGCGCGTGGCGCTCCTTTTTTCCTCCTCCTGCAGCTTGTCCTTTTCCTTGTCCTTGGAACCGCTAGAGCTGCCCGCCCCCGGCGGCGGGTAGGAAATCCAAAATTGATGGGCCAGTTTGATTGAATGTACGGTTACTAAACAGGCGAGCTTGAAACTGTTCTAAGCGATCTGCAACAAAATAAATAATTTGTATATTTAATTAATTTTTTCATCTTTTACTTGGAGAAACTCCATGTTGATATTATCAACTTGATAATATGTTAATATAAACTACACTATTTAAAAGTTTCACTATTATATTTAAATATGATAATTGTTTTGCTATACAGGTAATATTTTTACTACTCTCTAAAAATGAAATAGTCAAAATTCTACTACTTGAATTAGTACCAGCATTTTTTATTAATAAAATAGTCGTTTTCACTTTTAAATAGTTATTTTTTACTACGTAAATAGTTAAAGTTTGACTAATTTAAGATTACTCACCATCTTTGACAATTTCTGAGAGTTAAAAGTAACTAATTTCTTTAGTCGTTTGCGGCCAACAACAAAGTATTATTTGAATTAAATGCATATACCTAAGCTCTATGGTTAAATGACCCATAAAAACAAATAAAGATGCAAAAAGTTTAGCTCAAAACAGCAACACAAATAATATATTTAACTTTAAAATATTAAGAACAATATTAATTGATAAATAAAATTGATTTTTATAAGATCGGCTGATAGCCGAATGGGTTATGACAACAGCTTGACAAGTGGCAGACCTGAGTTCAATCCCGGGTTTGGGTTAAAACTTTTTTAAAATTTAAATTTACTAATTTGACTATTTCATTCAGTAGAATTTGACTAATTATTAGTGACTGCTTTTTCGCTATGGCAATTAGTCAAATATGACTTATAATTAGTTATTTTTGACTAATTCATTTTAAGGGATTACAATATTGGGGGTAGATTAAATTAGTGTTATACATTAAAGGAACAATAATTATGGAAATGCCCTGTAATCTTTATAGTTATATGACATTAAAATTTCTGAATTTAATAAAATAAGTTCAAAAGCGGGGAATTATTGGTTTCTATTTGGTCATTGAGAATATTATCAGTTTTTTTTCTTTTATTTGTTAATATCCAAGGACTCCAATAAATTCAGTTTCATATGTAAGTATTTAAAGTTAGAATTAAAATTATTGTTGTCATTTATAAGATGGTTTGCATAGGTGGAATCTGTTTTTTTGCACAAGTTAATTGGTAAACGCCTAATTTATTATTTTTCTTTGTCTTATCTTTATTATTTTTATAAAATTTCTTAAGTTATTTTTGGTTTTAAATGTGAATTTTATTTTGTTTTTGTTTAAAAAAGAACACAACTGTTCCATATTAGTACCTAAGTATGTAAAATAGTTGTATGTATTCATAGGGTTCTTAAACTATAGTTTAAGGGGAATATTTGGTTGATTGCTATTTTATGTATTTTTTACAGTGTAGTGGGTTAAAGTTACGAAATACATCAGCAAGTGTTGTAGTAGTACTGATAATTATATGTCAGATGTCAGAATGGTGTGTTATTTAATTGTGTGTATGTTATTTTTGTGTTTATTTATTTAAGTATGTGTTAATTTTTTAGTTTAGGAAATTGATTAATAAAGCAACATTTTTTATTAAAATTCTTTTCATTTAATTTTTCAATTTCCAACAAATACTTTTGTTACTGGGTCTACAAAAAGTTTTTTTGAAAATTACAAAAATTGTTGACAGGATTTTATTATTAAATCTACAAAATGTTTGTTATAATTACAAACTACTTATTTAATTAGTTAAGAGATTACAGTATCATAAATTTATGTGGACCTGGATATTTTTTTACTGTGTATTACGTATAATACTAAAACATTGCCTGTAAAGGGTTAAAGTTACGAAATACATCAGTAAGTGTTGTAGTAGTACTAATAATTGTATTGTACCAAATTTCTTAATATTTTGATGATTTCAGAATGGTGTGTCATTTCATTATGTTCATTTATTTATGTATGTGTTAATTTTTTAGTTTAGGAAATTGATTAATATTTATTAGCAACATTTTTTATCAAAATTCTTTTCATTTAAGTTTTCAATTTCCAACAAATACTTTTGTGACTGGGTCTGCAATAGTTATTTATGTATCAAGGCAGTAAAGTCGTATTTTTTATCACGAATGTGGAAATTATTTGCCGAGGCGAAAGCCGAAAAAATAAACACGTGGGTGATAAAAATGACTTTAATGCCGAGGTGCATATTAAATTTTATCCGAAATTACATTTAATAATTCGAATCAAATGTCATTTGAATGTAGGAAGTGTCTACGTATACTGTTTGTTGCGACGGTTATTATATATTTAATTTAATTAATTTTTAATCTAATTAATAAAATTAACTTATTTTTTTATTAAAAAACATATTATGAAAGGGTCCAATCGACCACCGCGACAGTGCTGTTTTTTAAATATTGTTTAGTTGCTGCTGAGGAGCAGTAGACACATCCTAAAATGTATAATGGGTTGCATACAATACTCAATACTAAATTTTTTTGAAAATTACAAAAATTATTGACAGTATTTTATTATTAAATCTACAAAATGTTTGTTATTACAAACAGTTGGTTGTAAACTTAACATAAAGTTATGTGGACCTGGATATTTTTTTACTGTGTCTTATAATAATTACGTATAATACTGAAATATTGCCCTGTAAAGTTCATTCTTTAGTTTAAAAGGATTTTTATTATATCGGCAACATAATCTATGCAAAGCCTAACGAGAAATATCACGAATATAATTAAGGATATTCTAATTTGTTCAGCACCAGGCCTTGCTGATATGTTTTGATTTATTAATAACGGGCACGAGAAACTGTACTAGGTTAACTATAATAAGGTAACCTTAGCTCATAGAAATAACAGAGTTTATTTCTATGCCTAATAAATTACGTGTTAAGGGATTTATATGTACACACAACCAATCTTGTATGGAATTACCCAGTAATTACGATAAACAGTATATTAATTTAAAAAAATTAAAAAATAAATAGCAGCTTATTCTAACCAATTTTATTACAAAAAAAGATAAATTCAGTTTTAATCCCGGCGCATTCGCCATTTTTGAAAGTCTTTACCGGCCTAATTTTTTCATTTTTTTATTTTTTCCCTTTTCTAAAATTTTATATTAAACAAACAACGGGTTCTCGTGATTTTTTGAATAAAGATAGTTTGGGTTGAATGTTTAAATTTTGAAAAAAGTTTATTGTTTAAAAAAAATATAGCCGTCTAGTAGTATAAAATATAAAAAAATACCATATTTTATTTATATAACTACTTTTAGTTTTCGAGGTATCGGCTGGTAAAATTCGAATGATATAAACTATTAATATCAAAACGTTATAAAATAAGCAAATTTAAATTTTTTTATTTGTCAATAACAGAATAATTTTCATTTGATCCCACTGAAACAAAAATGTTCCGAAGTTTTGTCACGTATTGCATTATTGATTGGTTTTCACCAAGTTGTCGAAAAGTTTTGATGCTAAAAAAATAAGAAACAAAGTACAGTATCGAGAAAAAAATAACTGCTCTAGCGTAAATTAAAATATTGCTCGCTACAACATTAGGCTTTTTAGTTTCAGATAAATTGATGTCATTTACAAACAACGAAAGGTTTTATTCCGTCTAAAGTCTAGACAGATAATTGAAGTTTTAATAAATTGGAACAATGTAAAAAGGTACAAGAATTTGTTTTGTTTGAGTTATAAATACAAGAATACAAAAATTGTTTTGACATTAATTTAGGTAATTAACTATGGTTTCGCGTAAAAATCGAACAAATTTTGGACATTTGTTTGCAAGTGATGACAGAATTGAATATATTTTTTTAACCTTGTTTCTACATCTAAATGGTACATTTAAAAAAAATCATTCATTAACCGCTGTGGCCTTAAATCACTCTACTGTGTTAAATTAGATATTTTTTAATAACATTTGATAAATTTTGATATTTTTTAATAACATTTTTCTTTAAAAACGTATCGACTTGAAATTAGGTTAAAATGTAGACCTTATTAATGGCAATAAATCCACGTAATATTTTTTTTAGATTTTAACATACAGGGGGAGCTGGGGATAATTTACTTTAAAATTTTACCATTTTTTAAGGGCTAAAAAGTCGAAGAAGCAACGTTGTTTTATAATTTTGAGTATATCACGTTAAAGTACTGATAAATAACTATTATTTGATATATAATCTTCTACATCTCTATGGTAACCTACCATTGGAAGCATGAAAGATAATTTGACAGTTCAGTTTATAAGTTGCAAATAACTGATTGCGTTTTAATTTATAAGTGTACTATATAAACTCAAAACATTAATTTATTAAAATGAATAAACTAAATAATAATTATAGACAGTGTCAGCAAGTTAGAAATTATAAGCTACTTTAATTTTATTTTTTGCTCCACAACCAAGTTTCAATTTATTTTTTACTCGATAAGCAAGCTTCAATTTTAATTCCAAACTGAGGAAAGTAATATTTACCCAATAAATAAATTAGAATAAAGACTTTATTTTTTATGTTGCAATCGGCTATTTAGATGTATCTATATTTTTATTCAGTTGTTTTTCGATTTTTTGTAATTAGTTATTTTGCATTTTTTTATATTAAATATAATGCTATACAGGGTGTTTCTGGAGAAAAGCAAACGATATGGATTTGAAATTTTAATAGCATATACAATTTGATTTAGACTATACCTAAAGTCAATAGTTTTCAAGATCTTAATTTTTTTGTTAAAATTTTGCCGAATGCACGTTAATCAAAAATAGACTTTATTTTTTTGTTATTATGTTTTAATTTAATTTTTTAAAGGTTTTTCAACAAATAGCTTGAGAAAAACCACTTGAAATTAGGCAAACTTCAAACAATAATAACGTTTTTATTATAAATGTAAAACCCTGTATGTTTTAACACAATCAAATAGAATATTAAAGAATCTTTCAATTGGTATTATAATATAATTTAACAATTTCTAATATTTTCAATACTATTTTGTATAAACAAACCTGTGAAATTCTACATGTGGGTTAATGTGACAGTATCCATGGT